TCTTGGTCCAGAATGTTCACATTTGGGATATTTCACAAAGTCAATGGGACTTGCTGACAGATCAGGTGTGATGCACAGAAGAAAGAGGAGAGCATCAAAGAATATTACAAAGATGTTAGCCTGAGCAACAGGACAGATGGAGTTGCTACTAACTGAGGTGGGCAAGCCTGTAGGACAAGCAGGTTTCAAAGGAAAGATCAGGAGCTCAGCTATGAACACAAGCAGTTTGAGAGTCCATTAGACATCCACATGCAGGCATTGGACATCCAAGTGCAGAATTCAGGGGAGAGGTTTGCACTGGAGGAATAAGTTTGGAACTAACAGTAGACATGGGGATACCCTGCTCAGATCCCCCTTCAAGGCAGGACTTGCAGCTCCAGCCACTGGGAGTGCTGTCAGCAGACAACTTCCTGCTGTCGGCTCCTTCAGGGCCGGCCTCAGTTGCTGAGAGCTGCCTTGCCCAAACACAGATCCTTCCTGGGATGGCCCCATCAGTGACTGGTGAAGTCAGGGATATAAGGCCCAGGATATAAAGCCAAACAAGGGACAGCCAAACAGTGGGTCATCCACGCTCCACAGGTCCTCTTGGGCAGACCAAGGCCAATGCTGTACTTGTACCACATTTCAAATTCTTCATCCACTCAACCCTGGTTCTGCTGTCTCCCTTCCACAGGTGTCAATCCCTAATAAACGTCCTGTTCTTCAAACCGCACCTAGTGTCTGCTTCCAGAGAACTCAAATTCCAACAGGATTCATCAGCATATAGATGGCACAAAAGCCTAAAATTTGCATTTAACATATGTACAGGCCCTAAAATATTTCAGGCCTACTTCCCAAACCATAGATTTGTATTTGTACAGTGAGCCTGACATTTTGACTTAAAAAGACAAGAAGACAATAAAAAACAGCATCTGTGGGCATTTCCCTGAGGCCACAAAAGGAAAGGCTAAAGATGCCCAACCTTATTGGTATTCAGATTCTAATTAAAAACCACAGTACCATGCCACTTCACAGCCAGCAAATTGTCAAAAATTAAAACCTCTCAGTATCAGGTTTTGACCCAAGGAATAAAACAAATATCCACAAGTCCATACTGATCTAAGTAAATGATCAAACAAATAAGTATATGGGGAGAAGGGACAGCTCTTTCTTTTAATAGAATTCTAATTAATAAATTAGAAAGAAGAAGGGATGAAAATCAGTATTAGGCAAATGCCACAGTAATAACTGTTGCAGACACAATCCACCAATGGAGGCTAAAGTTAGTGAGTGAAAATTTGAGAGAAACAGACTTCTATAGTTTCAAAGCGTCTCTCATATGATACTTATAAAGGGAAAGACAGTAACTTTATAGTGAAGTGCAGCAGGCAGTGCTATAACCAAGTGACCAAGGTCAACATTACCAGTAATGAAACACATGGACATCATGAATGGACATCATGAATCCCCTGATATGGTGCGCTGAGACGGGCACACCACCATTCGTCTGGTCCTCCTGGCGAAAATGCATAACTTCTTCTCAACCATGAAAAACATCAGAAAACCCAAACTGAGGGACATTCTATAGCACAGCTGATCAATAATCTTCAAAAGTGTCAAGGTCCTGAAAGGCAAGGACATTCAGAGGAACTGTCACAGACAATAAGAAGCTAAGGAGGCATGACAGCTAAACACTGTGGGATCCTGGATTCAATCCTGGAACAGGAAAAAGACATCACTAGAAAAGCTGTTAAAATCAGGTTGGTAATTTAGTTGATAACATGGTTTCCAGTGTTAGTTTGCTGGTTTTGATCATTGTCCTGGAGAGTTAACATGAGGGGGCTCAGGGAGGGGAGATAGATGAGAACTCTGCACTCTCTCTAGGTCTGACATTATCTAACATTGCCCCTTCCCCCTTACTCTCTCCGGGTCCACTTGCTCCAAGGGAAGCCAGACTCATGAAGCCACTCTGGAGAGGGCAACATGGTGACGAACTGAGACCTCCTACCAACAGCCAGCACCGTCTTCCAAGAGTGTGAATGAGCCACCTTGGAAGATGGTCCCACAGCCGCAGTCCAGCCTTCTGATGACGGAAGTCCTGGCCGACATCGTCACTGCGTTGGCTTTGAGGCAGAATGATTCAGAGAAGCCAACCCCACAATACCTGACCCACGGAAAGTGTGCTTTGAGCTTCTTTTTTTAAATTGAAGAATAGTTGACGTACAATATTCCTGAGCTACTTTTTTAGAGAAAGTATTATCTAGAGTGACCACCAGATGGCGCCTGGATTCCAAGGATGGAACTGAAAAGTCTACCAACATTGTAAAGAGGTCAACTGCCCCCAGTTTGCTGAGAAATATATCACAATCCTAATAAAAATGTCATCAGGGTTTTTTGCGAGAACTAGACAACTTGATTATAAGGCTCATTTGGACGTACAACAGGCAAATACAGGGGAAAAACCTGAAAAAGGTGAAGGAGAAAGAAGAGAAAGTGCAAGAGCAGCTCCACCAGATATTAAAAACAACATAAAACACAGTGTTAGTGGTGCATTAACAGGCGTACAGATCATGGCAAGGATTAGGATATGCAGAAACTGAAAAATTGCTTTTGGAACTTTACGTGATTATATAATCATTTTTTATTTAGGAAGTGGCTTCAGGGAAGCCAACTAGATAACCAAAAAGAAAAGCTTGAATCCACTCTTCATGCTGGATACCAGATTAAATCAAAGTACATCAAAGACCTAAGTGAAAAAATACAACATCACAAATAATTTTAAAAAAACAAACACTGGGGAGTATCCTAATGACCTGGGAGTGGGGTAAATTCTCCAAACTTATCATCAAAATCCAGGCACATTAAAAGAGAATTTTGTTAAATGACCAAGCAAAAATGCAAACCTTTTGCGACTTCAAAACTTAAACCCACCATACGCAGACTAAAAATGACAAAATGAGCAAAATATTTACAACTTATATCACAGACTAAGGGTTAGTATCCCTAAAATATAAAGAGTATCTAAACCTTGAGGGGGGAAAGACCAAGAAACCTTTTGAAAAGTGGGCAAGATATATGAACAGAGTTCCCATAAACAGAAACACAAATGTCTCCTACATATATAAAAATTTGCTCAACCTCACTCAAAATTTTTCAAAGCCACAAAGTAAAACTACACTGAAATCCTTTTACCCACCTACCAGATTAGCAAAAATCCAAATGTTTGACAACATTCCTCTGGCAACACTGTGGAAAAGCAGAGATTCTCACACCTGGCTGGTGGAATGCAAAAAGATAAAGCCTTCCATGGAGGAGAATTTGGTTATATCCAGCACACATACCCTTTGGCCTAGTGATCCTACATCTAGGATTCTATGGAAAAGACAGAGACAGAGATGACATGCCACTTGAATGTGCCTCTTCACTGCAGCACTATTTGTAACTATTTAAATGGCCATGAACAGTGCTAAGCTACATTCATAAAAATAGAACTCCATACAGCTGTAAAAGGAAATAGGATATATTAGGATTATACCTACATAAGATGTGTGGGCGTCATGACCTCCAAGATATAATTAAGTGAAAAAAGCAAGGTGTAAATTGGCGAGCAAAGTATGCTACCTTTTGTGCATAAGGAGGCATAGGGTCTTCCCTAGCTGTCTGGGACCTGGCCCTCGGGTGCTTACAGCAGGTGTAAAAGCCTGAGAGGAGAAGGTGGCCATGTGGGCTCTGGAGCCATTGTCTGTATTTGACCACACCCTGGGTGGCTCATTTACTATCTTTAGGAATTGGCTAGTCCTGGAAGGGGCAGTCCCTCCAGAGCCAGCAAGGGCCCAGATGTCAAAGCCTCAGGATACAGAGAGGAATGACCTGTTTAATACACCTCCTTGGCCTCGTGCTACACTTGACCCACCTTCTTGAACCTCCATGGTCCCTCACTGTCCATAACTCCTCAGCCCTCCGGCTCCACTGCCTCCACCCTGCCCATCCTTCTCAGTGTCTGTCCTGGTCTCTAATCCTATGGACACCTGGCCAGGGGATTTTCTCATGCTGCTTGCTTTCCTGGGTAGGCTTATCCAGGCTTCTGCTGCCACCTAGATGCTGATCACTCACAAATCTAAATTTCTATTCAGACATCTCTCCTGAGCTCAAGACCTATAGCCAACTGCCTATTGGATGTCTGCACTTGAGTAGCTCAGTTTGGAACCTGATCAAATCCAAAAGCAAGTCGATCATCTCCACCACCACCCTCCTCCTCTAGTGCCTGTATCCTGTGAATGGGCACCACAGTCCATCTGGGACCCAGGCCAGGAATCTGGGAGCTATTCCAGGTAGAATCAAGATCTTTTAAGTAGCTCCCCTTGGTCACCTCTTCTCCACCTGCCTCCCACAGCTCTGGTGTGAGCAGTCCTCATCTCTAACTTGAATGACCGCAATGCTCCCTGAATCAATCAGGATCCAATGAAGAGACAGAAACTACACAAGTTACTTTAACAGAGAGAATTTAACACATGGAATATAAGGGATTGTCAACTTGGTATAAAGTTGTTATCTAGATAGCCCCTTCTGAAACACTCGGCGCTCCTGGTGCACCCGCTCGGTGCCTCTCCTGCCCACCCAGACTCAGAGCTGCACTGGAGGCAGGGACTGTCTCCATGACTGCTACACACTCAATACCGTGACTGTGCTCAGCAAATATATTTTTCCATGAAAGACGAGTTTGGTATACATGAAAACTATGGGAAGGAAATAATAAAGGTTCGTAGATGCAATTATCTGAAAAAAAAAATAAGCCTCCTGACTTAATCAAGAGAGGCAGAAGAGAGCTAGAATGCTTGCGCCAACCCCGAATCACTTCATCCTAAACTCATCGACCATCATTCCTTCTCTGCACTTCCCTCTGTTTCTACACCTTTTCATAAAATGCTTTCCTCACCCACACCTACTAAAAGAAAGCTGGCTTCATGCATGAGAGCATGCCTCTGTCCCTCTTTCCTTTCCCCAGCTCCCGCTGTTCTCACCTCGCCTCCGGTCTTTCTTATCAGTACATCCCACAGGTCCTCAAACCAAGTCATGCGGGAGGATCACCAAGATGCTGCTTGTCCTCAGATTCATTCCTGAGCAGAAGGACTAGAATGACGCCCTGAAAAAAGAAACAACGCTGCGTGAGTGACACGTCCTGGGCCTGGGCTTGCTCAGTCTGCGCGCCGAGCCGGGCTGTGCTCTGGCCGTGATGTGAACAGCGTCTGAAAGGCCCCCGTGCGAAATCATAGTTCCTCCCTCCGAGAACAAGATAATGTCTGAAATTCCAGCAACAGAGAGGGAATTAGTTTGCTGGGCCCACCATAACAAAGTAGCACAGACTGAGTGGCTAAAACGACAACAGAAATTTTTATTTTCTCACAGTTTGGGAAGCTGAATGTCCAAGATCAAGGTGTTGGCAGCTTTGATTTCCTCTGCAGCCTCTCTCCCTGGCTTGCAGACTGTGAACATAACTAGGTCACTTTCTGTTTTTCTGACCAAACCCCAGGAAATATGCTTTGTCTGTAGCCATATGACTAATTTCTGTCCAGAGGGATGTGAGCGAAAGTGAGGTGGGCGAGTAATTCAACTAATTACATCTACAACAACGCTATCCAAATAAGACCACATTCTAGAGTATGGGGGGGTGTGGGGGGGATTGGGATTTCAGCATATCTTTTGTGGTGGGGGGGACAGAATTCAACTCATAAGAGCTAGTAAAAAAAATGTAGAATATCTTTATGACTTTAAAGTGAATAAAGATTCTTAAACCCAGAGAACATAAACCATGTAGTGAAAATGAGATTGATTTGTCTGTGCTAAAATTAAAGATTTCTTCTAAACAAAGACATGATTGAAAAACATAATGAGTGACATACTGGGAAAAGATATTTTCAGCTTCAAAAAAAAAGTGATGAATATCCAGAACATACAACAAAATCCTGCAAACATTTAAGAATAGGAAACCCAATAGAAAAAACTGGACAAAAAATATGAATAGGCAATTAACATAAAAGGAAATCCAGATGGTTAAATCTGAAGAGATGCTCGGTCTCATTCATAATCAGTGAGGAAATTACACCACATTAGTTTAAATCCATCCGTGTGGCAAAAATCAGGTCACAGAGGAACTAGTATTAGAGAAGACGTGGAATTTGGAAACATCCTGCACCTCCAGGTGGTGTAATTCAGTATGTATATCCTATAATCCAGAGAAACTCCTACACTTGTATCCCAAAGCATACAAGTACAAAATAGTTGATTGAAGTACTATTTTGTAGTAACAAAGATTTCAAGGCAATATAAGTCTTTATTAGTAAGTAAACAGTTAAGGATAGTGAACTAATAACTTGGAGTACTACGCAGCTATCAGAAGCAATGAATGAGATGTATAAACAACATGGAAGGCTCTTAAAACAATATTGAGAAAGAAAAGTAAAAGTAGAAATTTTACTTAATAAATTTAATCTAAATTTATCTATTTATTAAGTAATAAATAAAATTACTTAATATCATTTTTGTGAATTAAAAACATTTACATATACAAAGCACTATACACCTTTTGGTAGTATAGACACATCCAAGACCCATAAATTAACAACATTAGAAAGTGTATCTATGAAGAGGAGGAAGAAATAAAAGTGGGAGTGGGATATGGGGGGAAGATCACATAATGTAAAAGAATAGCTTTACACAAACTATTCCAGATAACATGTTAGAAATGAAACAGTATCATAAATTTAACTCTCTGAAAAAGAAAAAAAAGAATAAAGGAATGACAAAAGAAATACCAAGGAAATGTTAAGAAAAAGGAAGCATTAAAAGCAAAAAATATTAGGAAAGACAATGAAGGATATTTCATTCTGATAAAAGGAATAATTCGATGAGGTCATACTAATATCATGAGCCCTTATGCATCTAGCAACAATACTTCAAAATATATAAAGCGAAAACTGATACAGCTAAAAGGAGAAATTGACATATCCTCACTCATAATGGGAGACTTTATCAGAAACCAATAGACAAAACAGAAAAAAAACTAAGAATCTAGTAGATAAGAATTAGACAATTAATAAACCTGTATAGTCAAACCTCTGATCCCAACAACTAGAATACACATCCTTTAAAAACACATACAGAACACTTCCAAAACAAAAAAAAAAAGTCATATACTAGGTCAAAGAGGAAATCTCAACAAATTTCTAAGAATTTATAACATTTAAAATATGTTCTTTGAATAAAATTAGATATTAACTATAAAAAGATAATCAAGGAACTCCATTCACTAAAATATTCAAAAATACATTTCTAAATAATTTGGGGTTTAAGAAAATTGAAATGACATCATTGGGAAACTCATGACAACGGAAACACCACATATCAAAATCTGGAGTATAATGATTAACAAACACTAAAATGGGGGAGAAAAAGAATGGTGAAACAAAATAACCCCTCCCCCTCAAAAATAAAAAAGATTATCAGTAAAATAAAAAGCTGGGTTTTTTTTAAAGATCAATAAAACTATAAAATTTTTGCAAGTGTGATCCAGAAAGATAAGAGAAGGAACAAATAAATATCAGGAAAGCCAAAGGAACTATAACTTCAGATATAAATGACACATAAAAAATAATATGTATAAAGTTATGCCAATAAATCTGAAATCCTAGATAAAATAGATACTGTTTTATGTGAATACAAATTACAAAAATTCTTTCCAGGAGAAAATAATAAATCTGAATAAACCAATATCCACAGAAGTTGAAATTGTAGTCAAAGACCTACAAAAAAGGCATCAAGCATGGATGATCTTACAGTCAAACTCTACCAAATGTGCAAAGAACAGATAACTCCAGTATACTGCAAACCATTCCAGATCATAGAAAATGATAGGTCATTCACCCAAATCACAGAACAGCGCTAACAGTTCCCTAATGTAAAAACTGGGCAAGGATGGAACAAGAAAGAAAACCATGGGCCAATTCCATTCATAAAAACAAATGCAAACAACCCTAAATAAAAATATTAAATCAAATCCAGCAGTGGTAAAAAGGAGAAGGAGGATGGTTCAATATTACCAGATTAAGGTAGAAAAAACATGTGATCACATAAATAAATGCATTAAAAATATTTGATAAAAGTCAACACCTACTTCTAAAAAAATCTCTTAGCAAAGTAGAAATAGAATTTGATAAAGGACTTCTAGAGATCTACTGAAAACATCATACTTAGCAGTGAAACCTTAGGGTTATTCCTTTAAAAGTCTAGAACAAGACAATGCTTCCCCTTTATTACCACTATTATTGGAACTTTTAGTCAAAAGGGGAGGAGGAGATAAATGAGTTTCAAAGATTGGAAAGACTAAACTGTCACTTTTCTTGCCAACACAGGATCATATATCTGGGAAAGTATGCCGAATTATCTGTCGATCCTAGAAGAAGAGCGAGTTGAACAAGATATCAAGATCCAAGATCAGCATTAAAAACACAACAGCAGTAACTGACTAGAAAAAAACAACAAAATCTCAGCCATATAAGTAAATTTAAACAATAAAGTCCCAGTGAATGAGCAGAAGAAAGTATGTACAAGATATCCCAGAAGAAAATTGTATCTATGTCCAAGAATGGAAGACTCGATAATAAAACGTCTTAAATTTTCCCCAAATTAATAACATTCATTACAATCCCAATTAAAATCCAAATGATTTTTTAATGGAATTGACAACTTCCATCCCACTCCCCATCCCCATTGCAGGGCCCACCAGGTTCCTTTCCTCACCCAAGTCTAGGCAGCTGTTTGGAGACCACCTGCTCTACTGTTTACCTGCTTCTTTGACTTGAATCACCCCATAAGCAGTTGGTAAACAGAATAATGATGCCACCATACACAAGCATGTTGTTTAATATGCAATTTTCTCCAAGGTAGTTAAGATTTTGAAGCTTAAATCCTATGTAGGATTTAAGATTTTGGTGCATGCTTTCTCACAGTTAAAGAGGAAGGCTTAGTAATAAAAAAAGATATTTAGAGAAAAAGCTGCAAACCTATAGAATTGTCTTTCTTTAGATCCACAGTGATACGCTTAATGGCTTCAAAAACCACAACACTATCACCGCCCCCCTGTGTTGAGAGAAAGCTTCTGCATCCATGGATGTTTTATTGCCCTCGTCTAGCTCAGATTAGCACATAGTCTACAGGCATACACCTGATCATCTACAATTGCTCTCTTACAACACTAAACTGTTTTCTACCTTTATCTTGCATCTACCTACCACTTCAGCAGTTTATTAAAAATAAAAAAATAATAATAATAAAGGGAGAAATGTGGGATCCACATATAAATCAAGTATAAAAATCAAACGAATATTCATATTTGACCTGATTGTTTATAGTTCATAATGCGTGATCAGAACCGAAAGTTTCTGTGATGACTGCCCTTGTACTGTTCACCATGTAAGAACTTATTCACTATGTAAGAATTCGTTCACTATGTAAGAACTTGTTCGTTATGCTTCAGAAGATTGGAGACTGATGAGAACTAGGCTTGAGATGGATTAATGATTGTGCATTGAGCATTGACCCCCTATACAGAATTTTATTGTTGTTAACAACCATTTGATCAATAAATATGAGAGATGCCCTCTCAAAAAAAATAATAATAATAATAAGGGAGAAATGTGGGATTCCCATATAAATCAAGTATAAAAATCAAACAAATAATCATATTTGACCTGATTGTTTATAGTTCATGATGCGTGATCAAAACTGAAAGTTTCTGTGATATGACTGCCCTTGCACTGTTCACCATGTAAGAACTTATTCACTATGTAAGACCTTGTTCACCATGTAAGAACTTGTTTGGTATGCTTCAGAAGATTGGAGACTGTTGAGATATAGGCTTGGGGTTGATTAATGACTGTGCATTGAGTCCCCTATACAGAATTTTGTTGTTAACAACCATTTGATCAATAAATATGAGAGATGCCCTCTCAAAAAAAAAAAAACCACAACACTAGATACAAGGTTATGGTATGTGGGAAGGCTGTGAACATAGATGAAGAACCTGAAATGATACTTTCCTAGTATTAAAATGACACATTAATGAACAAGACTACAGGTTGGATCAGATTTTGAATGATGATGAAAATGGACCAAAGTCCATTATAAATTAACATCTCCAGATTAGCATCTCCAAGGATGAACAAGCCCCAGCCTTTAAGTTGCAAAAGAAGCGATGGAAGGCTAAGTGCAAATGCTCCTGGAAATTTAACTGTGCTAATATTTCTATTAGAATCATTACTGATTTTGTAGGGCTCTGATTACAAAGTTGCATATACATTTGGGGCAATCTGTACCTAATTCTATTTTTCCCATAAAGCCTTGTTATTTTAGTGCACTGCTTTGCAAACCCCCAGGATTTTCAGGAACGCACACATCAGGTTATAGCAGAAAAGCCTATACTCAGAATGAAGTGGAATCTCTCTCCTCCGATAGGCATTCTTGATAAATCCTACGTTTCCCTGACAGGTAGCCAGGAAACCGGATACCCACTTCCCTCTGAAAGTGAAATAACTTTCCAGGAGACTCTGGGGCACGGGCAGTTAATTCCTTGGAGCTTGAACACCAAAGCTCCCCTCTTCTTTCCACCCTTCAGACCCCCAGACAACTCCAGAGAGGACAAGTGAAAAGACCCGGAGTTTTGTCCATTACAAGCCTCAGATCTTGAGCAAGTCGCTAAACCTCAGCAGGCCTCAGTTTTCTGCTTTTAATGAGAAGGCAGTGTTTTAAACAAATCACGGTGGTGGTGTTTTTAATTTTAAATTCTTGTTTTGCTATTTATAGTTCTGTGACCTTGGACGAGTAACTTTATTTCTCTATGCGTCATCTGTAAAATGCGGGCTTTGCAAGGATTTAAAGATAACATGTGTGCAAAGCACAAGAAGCATATTTAGCCCCAATAAATAGAAGTTCCTATTATGGAAGACAGGGGATTCCCGGGGGCTCGAGTTCTGACTGAGGAGGCAGAGGACCCCAGAACTGGTAGGAAAAGCAGACGTAGCTGTGATTTCCTCGGGGTCAGTAAATACATCCTCCCAGCCCCGTCTTCCCCGCAGAGGCCTCGCCATCAGGGCGACCCGCTAGCTTACTGAGGCCACCCATCGGCTCTCCGAAGCCTGCGGTTTGGGAGCCGCCTCCCGCAGCGCCGGTTCCAGAACGGCCTACATTTCCCGGTGTGCACCTCGGATCGGGGTCCCAAGGGGGTAGTCCAGCCGCGGGGATCTTGTGCCGGCTGCGTTAGAGGTTCGAGGCTTTAACCATCTCTCACGCAGCTCCTACTTCTCGCTTTGCGGAGCCCGTCCGTCACCGTCAGCATTCAGCGCTTGGCCTCCTCCTCCTTCGCGCCTCCAGACGTCCGGCCCGGCCCACCGGGACCCAGGGAGGGTCCGAGGCCAGGCTTATCTCCCGGGGAGGATTCCTCCGGCCCCACGGAGTCCCCACTGCGGCCCGTGGCTGGCAGCCGCGCTCTGGGGGACTGAAGGGAAGGGAACGAACCTTGAGGCCGCACAACCGGAGACTACAACTCCCAGGTGGCACCGCGCGGCGGCGGCGACACGTCACTCGGGCACCGCCAACTGCCCCGGGAAGCGGCGCGGGCGGGGGCAGGACTGGGGCGGACTTGGAGGCCGGTGCTGAGGATGGGGACGACCCGACAGCCCCGCGCGTGAGGAGGGTGAGGGGCGCGCCACCCCGCCCCGGGGCGGACGCCCCCCGCGCCTCGCCACCTCCACCCCGCCCGGCGGTAGTGGTCCGGGATGCGGAGCCGGGGGCCGCCGGTGGAGCTGTGCGGGGTGAGAGGCGCGAGGAAGGGGGCTGCCTGCTGCCCTCGCCCTCGTCCCCCACCGGCGGGCCCCGGCAGGAATTCAGGAGCCGCGCGGCCAGGCCCTCTTAGAGCCCTAACGTTTGGGGGGGACAGGTGAACCCATCGCCCTACCCCCACCACGCCCCGCCTGGGCAGCTGAATCAGCGGGGCCGACCCTGCCTTCTTAAGGAGGCATTTTCTTGCTCCTGCGGAGGCCCCCCAGCCATGGACCCGAGGAGCCCCCTAGGACTCGCAGGGACTGCCCCCTATCCTGGCCGCCAGGGCCCGCCCTCTGCATCCCGCGGGCAGCCTGTGTGAAGCGGCCTCCCGCAGCCCCCGGCCCCTCCCCCATGGAAGAGGAGGAGGGGACGGCGGCCAAGGAGTGGGGCACGACCCCCACGGGGCCTGTCTGGACCGCGGTGTTCGACTACGAGGCGGCGGGCGACGAGGAGCTGACCCTGCGGAGGGGCGACCGCGTCCAGGTGCTTTCCCAGGACTGTGCGGTGTCGGGCGACGAGGGCTGGTGGACCGGGCAGCTACCCGGCGGCCGTGTGGGCGTCTTCCCCAGCAACTACGTGGCCCCCAGCGCCCCGGCCGCGCCCACAGGCCTCCAGCTTCCTCAGGAGATCCCCTTCCACGAGCTGCAGCTAGAGGAGATCATCGGTGTAGGGGGCTTTGGCAAGGTCTACAGGGCCTTGTGGCATGGCGAGGAGGTGGCCGTCAAGGCCGCCCGGCTAGACCCCGAACGGGACCCAGCAGTGACAGCAGAGCAGGTGCGCCAGGAGGCCCGGCTCTTTGGAGTCCTGCAGCACCCCAACATCATTGCCCTCAGAGGTGCCTGCCTCAGCCCCCCACACCTCTGCCTAGTGATGGAATATGCCAGGGGAGGTGCACTGAGCAGGGTGCTGGCAGGTCGCCGTGTGCCCCCTCACGTGCTGGTCAACTGGGCTGTGCAGGTGGCCCGGGGCATGAACTACCTACACAGTGATGCCCCTGTGCCCATCATCCACCGGGACCTCAAGTCCATCAACAGTAAGTGGCGTCCTGCCCACAAAACTTGCTTGTATGGAACCTTGTGAGGCCAAGCCTAGGTGGTGGGAAATGGGAACACCAGAAGACACTACCTAGGGCAAGAAAGAGCAGCAGTACATAGGACCAGGTGAGGCAGGACTTGCCACCATAAGGGAGGAAAAGAAGGCCCAGAAAGGTGGAGGGACTACCTGCCTCCCAGGCTAGAATCACAGTTGCTTAATAAGTAATGTATCTGTGAATGCCGGGACAGGCCCCGTGCTTCTTATGTGCACAGGACACACAGTGAGTGCCCTCCTGGCACTCCCTGTCCAACCATAATATCAGAGTCCCCAGGCAGGGACAGGAAGAACCTAGCCTGGAGTCAGACCTTTCTCAGTCGTGGCACTGTTGACATTTGGGGCCAGATGATTGTAGGAGGTGGTCCTGTGTGTTGTAGGTTGTTTAGTAGCATCCTTGGCCTCTACCCACCAGCGGCCATTGGTCTTCCCTGCCCCTCATCCAGTTATGACAACCAAAACTGGGCTCCAGACATTGCCAAATGTCCTTTAGGGAAAAACCTACCCCAGTTGAGAACCATTTCATGGAGTCCTCTTAGGCCTCTGCCCCAGCTGGCTGAGGCCAACTGGAAAAGATGAGGGAGGAGAAAAGGGATATGGCTTATGTAAATCTTCCCAGCTGCCTGGCTCATCACAGGCTCTCAAAAATCGATTGGTTGGTTGGATGAGGACTGGGGCCTGGTGGAAGGGAAGCTTCTTCAGCACCCACATTTAGATCATGATGTCAGCAAATGTTAGTTGAGCACCTAGTAAGTAGGAGCCCAACAGGGTCCAAGATGGCTATGGTTTCTGCCTTTACAGTGGTCACAAACTAGAGATCTCATTCATTCCCCAGGTGTCCGAAGTGCCTGTTGTGTGCCAGACCTTGTCCTGGGCCCTAAGGATAGAGCAGGGGAATAGCCCTACCTTCCCGGTCCTCCCATCCTTCCTCACTCCCTTTCATTTCTGCATTTATGTATTCATCCTTTCATTTGGTATTTCTTGGGCCAGACTGTATGCTAAGCAAGAGGAATCAACAGGGAATGAGGCCAGCATGTTCCCTGCTTTCACGTGAAATGGGAGGGTTTCCCCGTTGCCCTCCACCTCCACACCTCTTCTGTTTTTGATTCCTATCAATTCTACATGTTGAAATTTGTTTGAATCCATCCCACTATTTTTATGTTTGTTGCTATGCCCCTACCACCACCAGCTGTAAGCACCTAGAACAGAGGAGTGAGTCTTCCTGACTTCCAGGCCTGGCATTCATATACTCAACAGACAACTACCAAGTGCCCAAGGTGTGCCAAGCACTGTGCGAGGGCTGAGGAATTGAGCAAGACAGATGCAGAAGGCCCCTACCTTCACTGAGGCTCGTGCTCTGACTCCTCTGAAATGCTGGATAAATGGAGGCAGGACTAACGGCATGCTCCTCTGGAAGGCTGGGGCCCCTTTCTGGCCCTTCCTCACCCCACTGACCCACAGCCTCCAGGGTGGGGTATAAGGACACACCTCCCCGCTGCCCCCACATTTTCTGTAGCCAGTGCTACCTGGACAGTGGAGCTTTTAGGCCAGGGCTTCCTGCTTGGACAGTGGGATTGCTCCATGCCTGAGATGGGGGACCCAGAGCCTCCACAGCATGGCTTCCCCCATTTACCCTTCCCTAAGTAGCCCCTCACTGATGTCACTCATTCATTGGCTCATTCTTCAACAGAATTAAGTGTCCTAGGCACTGTCCCTAGCTCTGGGATAACAGACATGAACAAGGCAGGAATCCCCTCAGGGAAGTTATGGTCCAGTGACCAGAAATAGATGGTTGGCACCTAGATAAGTGATGGAATTTTAAAGAGTATCAGGGGTTTTGAAGGAAACCAAGTAAATTAAGGGCGGAGCAAAGGGAGCACTTTAGATCAGATAGTCAGGGAAGGCAGTATTGGAGCAGAGACCTGAACAAAGAGGACCCAGCTTTACAAAGATCTGGGCAGGGCAAAGGTCCTGAGATGGGAATGAGCCTGCCATGCTGGAGAAATAGCAAGGAGACCAGAGGGATTGGAAGATCAGAGTCAGGAAGAGGTGGAGGCAGATGAGTTCAGAAGGGCAGACAGGGCCAGATCACGATGACCTTGAGCACCACGGTGAGGCCATTGGGTATTTTACTCAATGTAGTGGAAGTCATTTGAGGAATTTAAGCAGAGGGTGATGTGATCAGATATATTTTTAAAGGGAACTGATTTAGGCCGAGCCTGGGAGATGCAGAGATAAAGTGAAAGACAGTGGGGTGTTCCCTCTGTCACAGGGTCACTCCACAAACAGGAAAGATGGAAGGACTTCTGGGAGGCAGAGTCACATGCTACAGAGTCAAGGGAGACCCAAGAGGAGGTAGCATCTGAGTGGGGCTTTAAAAAATGGACAAGGTTACCAACTTTGTGACCTTGGGCAATATACTGAACTAACCTGAGCTGCTGCTTCTGCCAAAGGGGCATGATAATAGAATTACTGCCTGGAGAAGCAGCCAGGAATGGCCAAAGATATAGCTGAAGAAATAAGGGACAATTATGGTGGCATCACATACTACTAATAATAGCTAATGCTTTTAAAGGAACTACTGCTGGTAAATCTTTACTAAAACCTTATAAAGTAAATACCGTTATCTCCATTTAACAGAGGAGAAATCTTGTGCTTAGAAAAATTGAAGTATACAAGGTTATGTAGCTAATAAGTGGCAGAGCTGGGATTCAAGGGCAGGACCCTATACTTTGGAGCCTCTGTTTGACAGAGTAATAGAATATCATAGCAGTAAAAGATGGGGCCCTGATAACAGATCTAGTTTAGGTCTTTGCCCCACCGTTTTCTAGCTGTATGGTTCATCTTGGCCAAGTGACTTCATTTCTCTGGGCCTCAGTTTGCTAGTCAGTAAAACTGACTAGCTGGGTTGCTCACTAATTGATGCATGTGAAGGACTTAGCACAGTGCTTGCCATGTAACGGGCTCCTGATGAACACTAGCCATGATTATTATTGCTGTTATTAACAACCCTAGGCTGTCAGTAAGTTGGGCCATCCAATATGTTCGGGGGATTATCAGTCAGATTTGGTCATAATAATGCTGTGTAACAAACTACCCTCAAAACAGTATCTTCAGACTCAGTGTCATTACTTACTACTCATACACTCTCAGGCCAGTAAAGTGCTTTAGGCTAGGCCCCACTGCAGAGGTTTTGCTCCAAGTCTCTCTCATCTTCCTTGGACCGAAAGGCTAGCCAAGGCATGGCATCATGGTGATGGCAGAAGCGCAAGGCAGCTAACAGCACATGGGGCCTTGGAAGGCTTAGGCTTGGAACTGGCACTGTGTCGCCTGTGCCTCATTCTGTTGGCCAAAGCGAGGCATGTGGCCAAGCCAGAGTAGAAGATGGGAAATACACTCTGCCTCTTTAGTGGAAAGAACTGAGAAGTCACATGGCAGACAACGACACAGAAAGTAGAGTTGGGACCCTGAATGCAGTTATTTCACAGGGGGTGAAAAAGGCATAAGAAAACCATGTTCATCTCTTCTGCTTATGGTTTGTTGTGCCTGCTTCTGGGGTGGTAGGGAATTCAAAGCCTGGACCAAGGAGAGCCAAGGTGCCAGTGCTGGCCTTTCCCTGAGCTTCTCAGAGCCCAGGTTGGAGTCAGTAAGGCAAGGGATGCAGGGGATGCTCCCTACACCCT